CCGTTTGTTTAGCAACCTAGTGATGCCAGGAGTAACTCATTAACTAAACAACAACGATGTTATGATGTTATTTGTTCTTTTGTATGACAAACTTTTACATGAAGTACTGTACTGTAAGTACAATGTCTGAAGACTAGATATTGTGCGTCCCTACATTATTTTTTGACGGTGGACCTCTCGTATCCCCCTTGCGGGCGGGACGCCAAATTAGGTTATAATGAACAAGCCCCCTGTGGATTCATACATTTGTCATCACCAGGTTGCCCCTATATTAATACCATCTGACTTCTAAAACACGCTGTTGATAGAGAATTTGAATCGAAACTTTAATTCTCTTTCCAGTACACAAAAAAAGTCTTTGGGCCATATTTAAAATATGTTTTTTTTCTTCTTGTTAATTAAACATAAAAACAATCCTCAGAACACGGGAAATCGCTTCTGAGACGTTCTAGAAAACACATTTTTTTGGGGGGAGATCCCCGTACCCTCCACCTCCTCGCGCTACGCGCTCGGGGTGCTGCCTTCGGCCGCACACCGTTGACTATTGAGAAAAACTTATCGGCCCCTCCTTTTAGGAAATCCCTGATCCGCCCCTGCTATTGCTCTAGCCGATCAAGTTACCTGGTCAACAGAAGGGGCCTGGCTCAAATGTGGTACATTTTATTCAAATGGAAGTGAAGGGACTGGTACTATATATACCATATGAAACGCCACACATCATTGGGACAGGGATCCCAAACAGGCAAATATTGTGAAAGACTCTAGGCATGTCATTCATATTTATTTTTTCAACTGGAATTGTAGCATTTATCAATATCGCCTATAGGTGAAATGTACCTAGGACATTTGAACAAAGTCCATCAGTTATTTTGCAAACAAAACTCAAGGTGGTTTGTTTTTCTTTCCTTTAATGTTATAAACTAACCCATTTTTTTTTTTACTAAAAACAAGTCTTTTAATTAATTATACCAGGAATATTATAGTACTAGCTATAACCCATTTTTTGTGCTTTATTATTTTAAGTATTATTTAATTTTTTTCTTAACAAGGGTGGTAGCATTTTATAACTAAGCTAAAGCATACAGGTGTTTTTAACTGTAAAGAAACCCTGTGATTTCTGCCACCTACTTAAAGGTCTATGGCCTTACTGATCTCTGTGCCAGACACAAAAAAAAAAGAAAATACCTGGAGAAGATTATAGCAGGGTTCCTGCCCACAAGTTTACAATCATTGATTTTATAATTTAAGATGTGTCAGGAACGGGGGTACTTAATATGAAACAGCAGGTATTGCCATTAACTCGGGTACCATATTTACGGAGGGTAATGAAACAGTAGGTATCTCCTAGATCTTAGCATTGGAGTTTTGAATTATGTCAATAATTAATAGCATCGGTCATAATATATATATATATATATATATTAGAGAATAGCGGATAGGTGTTAATATTTAATTCAGACGCCTGTTCTCTAACACTACAGTAAATAAGTTAACTTATGTAACTTGGCACCTGTAAATAACTGTTTTAATTAACAGATATTACTTATGNTGAAGCCCAAAAAACCCCTCCGGATCCGCCACTGAATAATTCATGGACAACGCCGGGCCACACAACCGTGTTATACAGAGTGCGGTAGTCTAACAACCGCCGGTAAACACTCCCTGACTTATGACGGTCCTTTCATATCTCAATCATTGGGTAAAAATATAAAATCACAAAAAAACTGAGCACCTATACAGCTGTGCTAATGCTAATTTGTCCGTGTTTATGTTGATTGCAACATACACGGTGCTTACAACTCTCACAGTAACGGCGATTCCCCCGTGCAACTTACAAGTACCGGAACTTACAACTCTCACGGGCTTGTGAAGTACACGCTATAACGTCAAAAGTTCAACCACCGGAAGCCAGTATGGTAGAGAGTGATAGCTGTACGGAGTAAGATTGCGAATTGAAAACGGATTTTGAGATATTGGATTATGGTGAAGGTGATCAAAATGAAAGTAATATAAAAAAAATACAATTGTACATGTAGCTTAAATTTATATAGAATGCCATGTGTACTTTACATTATATTTACAACAGATAAGCGTTTTAAACACGCGTGTCAGTCACGGTTCGCTTTAAACGGGTTTGGGTTTATCTGTTAAATTAATCGTATATCAATAGAAAAAATAAAAAAAATATCATAATGTTACTGATAAACAATCATCCTGCTATTGTAAGTTTTAAGATTGGTTTTGAGTGCCGTTATTTATCACTGTTCGTTGCACGTCAGCCATGTTTAATCTGTTAATAATTGTTATATTTAGCTGTCTCGTAAACGATTTAAAAACAAAAACCAAGTCAAGACACTGAATAGCACAAACATGTATAGATATGAATCAATTACCCTTTGTAAATGTTTCTGCTGACAAGTATGAGCATCCCCCTTCCCCCAGTACGAGATTTCAAAGGCGTTTGCAGAAAAAAATACGTTTCGTACTTCTACGAACACATATTAGATATATACAAGTCCGTGCTATTACATGGCTCGCAGCTAATATTACATAAAGGTCCTCGATAAAATGAAAGGCGTAGTTCATTTGTATTATATCAAAAATATGTTCAAATTATATATGTTCCAGTAGATCTATGTATGTCGTTGAAGAAAACAGCCATCATATTTTTTATGGGCCGGGGTGAACGAGTAGGATGTTGGACCGGGAGATGCCGGAACGACTTGATTCGTTTTTATAGAATATGAGCTGCCCTCAAATAGTGTTTTGAACACAATAGGAACATTTCGTAGGTCTTTCCCACTTTCAACAAACTGTACGCATTGTTTCTAAACACTGACAAGTTCAAGGGAAATGCGTGGAAATGAGACACTATCTGCATGTGTGTTCCGACATCCATACATAACGTGTTTTATTCCTCCTCCATACGAACACCTTCCACAACACTACAGCGTTAAATTAAACGTCTATGGGTGTTAATGAACTTATAAGTCACTCTTTTCCAAGCTTTCGGGCTTAGCCCTTCGTGTGGGATTAAATGTCACTGGACCTCTATGTCACATCCATCTTGACACACATGTTGAGTAACTATGGCGTTGATGTTGATAACGTCATAACACTGTTACCATGACGTCAACACAACACAATGACTAACAAGTTCATTAATATTATTGCGTTCCCTATAGGAACATATGTTTATAGACAATTAGTCTAAGGGTGTGTAAACTTGTCGTTTTTAAACATCTATAATCACAACATAAAGAAGATGAAAACTTTGTTAATCACATGACAGGTCACATATGTCACGGTACATATCGCTCTTCTTTGGTAAAACATAATAGGGTTGAGTTGACTGCGTTGAACTTGTGACGTCACAGGTCTGGGACACCATAACGGGGTCATCGGCTGTAAAATCGTGATTTCTCTGAAACGAAAGTCGCTATAGCGTTCGCGCTTTCTCCACTTTCTGTTTTATGAAGTGGTGTATTTTCAAACTTAATATTGCAAATCATTCCGGGTACACTTTAAAGGGTGCATAAAATACTATCCATGTTGTGGTATTATGTGTTCTATATAAGCTGTATTAACTATTGATTTCTTATCAATATGTTATTTAATGAAGAACTAAGTGTAAATAAACAGAATGGGTTGTTGTTTTTCTTTGAAAAGTGTCATGGCGACTGTTGCGCACGTGTGTCCGATATGCATGCATACAAGGTACACTAACATGTTATCATTCAACACATTGAAATAAAAACCTGCTGACTCAAAATTCTATATGAGTATAGGGTATAGATTCCTTGCTCCGTAAAGTTGATTAAAAGACATATTTTCTGTGTGATCACTTCTCCATCGTTTTGAAAAATATTTGTTATTGAAAAATGCATTCTCACAGTATTCAATTACAGACATGACATATGGTTGTGCTTACCTGCGGTATGAAAAGATCTTTTCTTAGGCGTAAAATGCGAGCAGTTGATAGTCGATGCACAGGGGCTTGCATAAACTTATTTTACAAGTATTAGCTTGAAACACCTATATATAAAGTCTTTATATATAGGTATTACAAGCGAATTTTATCATACAAGTCTATGCAAGCCCCTGTGGTCGATGTCAGCTCTCTTCAGCAGCAGCAAACGAAGTGTATCTCCAAAGAAAACCTAAGAAGTCAAGAAATTTTACGATTATTTTATCTAATATCCGAAGATTTTTAAAATCTAATTATGCATCGACATTGACAAATGAAATGATATTCAAATAGTAATTAAATGTTCCAAATTCACAATGACAATGCTGGTTTGACCGACTTGCGTCTTTAAAGTGCAAAGTATACCTCGCCATTCATGGCATAAATTTGTATTACAATTGATTCAAAGTGTGGAGCATTATGTGATGTGGAATATAAAATTATATTGAAATGACTTTTTTGATTGATGATTGATATACCATTCCTCATTTTTTGAAAACAAAAATCAGCACTATGGACTTCGAAGTTAGTCATCCCATAATCCAGTTCGCCCCGCCATATTGTCACCTATGTAAACTAGAGCAATGTCAGTTCATGTTTGACGTGTGTGTCAATCTGAAAAGTGTCAGAAATGCGTGACTTTTTTGATAGGGTAAGCTTCTTGTTTATTTATTGTTTGTCTCGCAGCAATTGTATGTACGCAGAAAACCATTTTGAGTAATGGCGGCAATACTTTTATGACACAGGCTTCAGGGGCGTTGACAATAGGCTACAACGTAACTGCGTAGCGTTTAGCCTAAAAGCAGTCCTCGTCCCCTATCATTATTGAAATCTAGACATGAAAGTAAAAGACAGTTAGTACGAATTTAAACGTTTTTAATTAGTCCCGGCCTCGGGAAAATACCCATAACCTTCCTTGCTTGTGGGGACGTCATGCATAACTACATATATAACTACATTATATAAAATTCTGTATATAACACATGTGTAAATGTCGATAGGTCAAAACTCTAAAGAAAACTATGTTACTGTAGGCTCTGTGGGCTTTTCGTTTAAGATAAGCTAGATCGGTAACTAAGTTGCTGGATTGAGTGAAATAATGTTGGGTCCTGCAAAAGGACAAAAACACTGTCTAGGTAAACTTGTGATACTTTCTGTTATTCTAGTGTTATTATTTTATATGAAATTCAAGACACATGTGACCGATGATGTTGAATACCAACAATCTGGAATGCATGTGTCGTCCGGAAATAATTTGTACGAAAATGGTTATAGCCAGATCCTATTGGAACATGATCAGTTGAATTACACGGGAGTAATGGAATCTGATGCGGACGAAATATCAAACCCGTTCACAGAACTTTTGAAAAAGGTACGTATAATATTTGAAAGTAAGGTGTAATTCACATGTATAGTCACATTACAGACCTGAGGTATTACAAAGTATAGAACAATGGAGAGTTAATTGTTCATTCATTAGTGTATAGTAGTAGAAAAGACATGGGGTAATCTGAAGCACGAGAAAGTAATTTTGCTGACGTTAAAGGGCATTGATTTAAGTACATAGAAAAAAATCACCCTTGACATATTTCCATATGTACATTGTAGCTCTTAAGAAAGACTATACGCGTCCAGGCTGATTCGGTGACTATCTCACTGTCCCCTCATTGTAGGGAACACTTCAGCGTCCAGGCTGATTCGGTGACTATCTCACTGTCCTCTCATTGTAGGGAACATTTTAGCGTCCAGGCTGATTCGGTGACTATCTCACTGTCCCCTCATTGTAGGGAACACTTCAGCGTCCAGGCTGATTCGGTGACTATCTCACTGTCCCCTCATTGTAGGGAACACTTCAGCGTCCAGGCTGATTCGGTGACTATCTCACTGTCCCCTCATTGTAGGGAACACTTCAGCGTCCAGGCTGATTCGGTGACTATCTCACTGTCCCCTCATTGTAGGGAACACTTCAGCGTCCAGGCTGATTCGGTGACTATCTCACTGTCCCCTCATTGTAGGGAACACTTCAGCGTCCAGGCTGATTCGGTGACTATCTCACTGTCCCCTCATTGTAGGGAACACTTCAGCGTCCAGGCTGATTCGGTGACTATCTCACTGTCCCCTCATTGTAGGGAACACTTCAGCGTCCAGGCTGATTCGGTGACTATCTCACTGTCCCCTCATTGTAGGGAACACTTCAGCGTCCAGGCTGATTCGGTGACTATCTCACTGTCCCCTCATTGTAGGGAACACTTCAGCGTCCAGGCTGATTCGGTGACTATCTCACTGTCCCCTCATTGTAGGGAACACTTCAGCGTCCAGGCTGATTCGGTGACTATCTCACTGTCCCCTCATTGTAGGGAACACTTCAGCGTCCAGGCTGATTCGGTGACTATCTCACTGTCCCCTCATTGTAGGGAACACTTCAGCGTCCAGGCTGATTCGGTGACTATCTCACTGTCCCCTCATTGTAGGGAACACTTCAGCGTCCAGGCTGATTCGGTGACTATCTCACTGTCCCCTCATTGTAGGGAACACTTCAGCGTCCAGGCTGATTCGGTGACTATCTCACTGTCCCCTCATTGTAGGGAACACTTCAGCGTCCAGGCTGATTCGGTGACTATCTCACTGTCCCCTCATTGTAGGGAACACTTCAGCGTCCAGGCTGATTCGGTGACTATCTCACTGTCCCCTCATTGTAGGGAACACTTCAGCGTCCAGGCTGATTCGGTGACTATCTCACTGTCCCCTCATTTTAGGGAACACTTCAGCGTCCAGGCTGATTCGGTGACTATCTCACTGTCCCCTCATTGTAGGGAACACTGGATAAATCAGCATGGGTCTGTTGGCTCAATTACAATAATTGGAATCGCAATCTTTTCTTTTTCTTTTCTCCTGCATATTTTTATTTATCTATTAATCAATATCTCCACCATCCCCACTGTCCACACCAACACAAATATTGCCCGCACCAATAAAGCTAATTACATGACAGCAACTTTTATAATCTGTTGTTTTTCTTGTTGAAGGGTTGTTATAATAAGAAAAAAAATATAGAAAACGAAATATATTTTTCACATTCAAATTGTATTGGTTAATACATGTAAACATGCACATCTAATTGGTTAATGTACTTCAAACATGCAAACTAAGTCCTTTTGAAGGTTATTTTGACCACCACAAATATCTAACCCCAACCAACCCCCACCACCAATAACTAACCCCCACCAACCCCCACCACCAATATCTAACCCCCACAACGAATATCTAACCCCCACCACCAATATCTAATCCCCACCAA